AAATGTAAATAACTTTCGTTCCCTTTTATGGACAGATGAATCAAATTTTTCAAATTCTGGAATGTTTAATAGAAAAAACCACCATTATTGGTCAAGAGAAAATTTTTTGTTAGTACATCCAAGAGGCCCACAAGTCCGTTTCAGTTTCAACGTTTGGTGCGGTATAATTGGTTCAAAAATTGTTGGCCCGTTCTTTTATGAGGGAACCCTAACTGGTGAAAGATATGTGGAACTTATGTCAGAAATTCTGACTAATTTCTTAGACGAATTGGATCTTATAAGTAGACATCATCTGCATTTTCAGCAAGATGGCGCACCTGCCCACAACTCCAGAGGTACTTATCATTTTCTAAGTACTACTTTTAATGATCAGTGGATAGGAACAAATGGCCCAATACAGTGGCCTCCCAGATCACCAGATCTAAACCCACTTGATTACTTCTTGTGGGGTTACTTAAAGAACCAAATTTACAAGCGAAGGTACGATAACCTTGACGCGTTAAAGACTGCAGTTAGGGAAAAGATAACCCAGATAGATGGTAGGACCATACTTAAGACAGTTCGAGCAGTTGAAAAACGTGCCCAAAAATGTATTGAAGAACAAGGTGGTGTTTTCGAGCATCTTCTTTAAAAAAAATTGTTATTGTATTTTGTAAGATTATAAGTTGATGTTGAAAATAAAGTTTGTCGATACAATTTAATTGTTTCAGATTGGAGGCCATAACTTCAACAATTTGTAACCTAGGAGAAAAGTTATTGTAAGCTTTTTTGTTTAAAATTTGATGCCTTAACAGAAAAAAATATAATATACAGGGGTTTCCATTTAAAAAAATGTTATTTTACTGAAAAAAATCAAAATAACGACTCTCAATTGTTTTTTTTTATTTCTCATTTTTACCAGCGTTAAAAATGCTACTAGTTTGCTAATTCAAACAACTTTGTATTTTCACTAATAACAAAGTTACTAATGGTGGACACTTAATTTGGATAACCCTGTATATGGTACCATTTTGTTTTGGTTTCCTGTGATTGGGTGTATACCTGTTGGAAATAAATATATTATTATTATTATTATTATTATTATTACTATGCCTAGAGCAAAAACGCTTTGAACGTTGCACGGTTTTGAAAATTCGTCCGGTAGCGGTGGAGAAAAATTCCATAAACGAAAAAATAAAATTCACTCAAACTTCGTTTTTTGATGATGATGATCCTCATCATCTTTGAAAAATTTAGGGAATAAATAGGTATTAGAAACTGGGGGTGAGATTTTGTTGTTGGGTTGGAGAGCGTGTATCGCAATTTTTACGAGCCTATTAGGCAAATTTCACATAAAAGTTCCTGAACGACACGATTATTTGTGAACTAATGATAGTAGGAGAAAAAGACCCGCGGTTGATAGCAGTTTTCTCCAGCTACCCAATGATCAAGTGGATTTTTTAAATCGAACCCCCAATGTTTGATCCCGTTAGTGAAAAGAACGGAAAATTATACGTTCAAATATAGTCTTGACCATTCTTAAATTTTGACCTTAGGACATGGTCAAGGTCAAACCCAGGTACGGTGATATAACATGAAAGCCAGTAGTCGTACAGGGAAATTACCGATCCATTATTTTAATGATTTCCCGGATATCCAAAGTTGATCTTGGAAATGACCTTGGTCATGACTTTCAAGATCATTGGAAGGTCAACTCTTTTTTATTGGGGTCCTAACTTTTGAGCGCGCAAATAGCGAAATGAGAAAATTTTATGTTCGAACATACCCACCATTTTTGGAATTAGACTTTGGACTTGACCATCAAGGTCAAACATAAGTTAACCTTAATTCTTGCTTAATTCACAAAACTGTGTGATCCCCAGATAAACTGACTTTACTGTTCTTTAAGAACTGTTCCCTGGCTACATAAATGACTCAATGATGATGATCTCCTTGGAAGTCATTGTGGTTAACGTCAGATCCAAGGTCATCATTGGTTATCTGGAGAAAAATCATGAAAATAATGTATACGACTACTGGTTTCCAAGTTACATCACCGTACCAGGGTTTGATCTTGACCATGACCTCCTAAAGTCAAAATTTTCCGCTCTTTTCATTTACAAGGTAAAAGTGGGCTTTCTTTTAATAAAATTGACTTTAACGTCAAATGACCTTGAAGGTCATTATTAAGGTCAAATCCAAGGTCACTATTGAATAGCTGGGGCTTAGTTTTTTCATACCATTCTTATTCTACAAATTCTCGTGGGATTTCGGAACTTTTCAGGCACCCTCTATATTACCCCGTATATTTGCCCTTAACACTTAAATGATACAAATATTTTGTGTATAAAGTGCACTAGCTATCGGTTGCTTCCGGGTGAATACCCACGCGACGAGTTTTTCCTTGAACAGCTGAGAAGAGATTAACGATGCCTCAGCGATGTAACAATTAGTCGAAAATACTGCTAGTTTCACTTGCCGGCACTGGTTCAATTTTTAAGGCCTACCTAAGCTTTTTAGTTCTCAGGATAGTGGTCACCTTGTGCAAAAAAAAATTTCATGAAAGGTGTACTTTTAGGCCCAGTTCTTCAATAAGAGGTTCACTACTACTGACCGCAAGCTGAACTTCAAAAAGCGTTTTTCAATGTCAGGTTTACCTCAAACTTTCACTAAAGAACCAGGTATACAGGGTGACTTTGAAGTTGAGTCATTAATTTTCAGATAATGATTGTAGAAGGAAGATAAACCAAGATATGTGTGTCAAAATAAAAGAAAAATAAAAAAAGTGACCTTGTTTTATAAAGTATCTTCCAGACAAGTATTTCAGTGCGGACCTGTACTTGATCGTGCGGTCTTGGAGCACCGGCATGCCCTCCCCTGTGAGGTCTTAAGTCACCTGATTCACGAGCCCTTTGTACTACATTAACAAAGGCACGAGGGGTTGGTTGCACTCGATTGGGAAAGCGATCCGCATAAATCCGTGATGCCGCGGCAGCATTTTGTAAATACTCCCCCCCGTAAATAAGAATCATGTCCACAAGTTCAGCATTTTCGTAAACATGTGCCAAAAAATTTTCGTTAGAGCCACGCGACAAACACCACTATTCACTCACGCGTTACCGACTAACACATTGACTGAATACAACTGAATAAAATTGTAGTAAAAACATCGTGATAAGCGTTTCAAATTCTTTCGCTTTTTTGTTTCCGATGCGATGAACCGATAAGGCGGATTATATCCGTTGTTGCCAAACACGAGCACATAATATTATTATTGAGACAGGGCGGTACTCAAACCTCTAAAGGGCTATAACTTTGTTACTTTAATTTTACCAGAAAAATGTTAAAGGAAAAAACATTTCTTTTGATCAGATCTACTTACTGTTAAAATAAATGACTCAACTTCGAAGTATATGAAATTGAAAGTTGTAGTTACACTACAATTTTGCTTGACAGTGACATGAGTTTTCACGGATGTCACGAGACCCAAATAACTAACGTCACGAAACGCAAAGGACACGATAGTTCAGACGTAGATGCAGCGTCTCTTCGTCAGTGATTACAGGTTGGTTAGCCCGAACTTCAAAAACGGTCAACTTATAGTTGACTTGCAAATAATAGTTACACATATCGGAAGTTAACTTGCGATTGAAAAACCGGATCTTAGTGTTATAAAGATAGGTCAAGTAGCTACCATTCTTGTTCTTGTCGGTACCTACGATTACCAACAACTGTCGGTAGATGGAACCAAAGACTTCATGCCCTAGCCTAGATGCAGATAAGCTGGCGGAAAGTACTTCAGAAAGTACTGATAGACTTAATTTGCTACATGGACAGCTTGGATTAGAATTGCATTAGCCTGGACGATCAATAGAGTTACATCAGTACATAATATTGCATCAGATTTATTATGCTATAAGTAAATATACGCTTGAAAATAGACAAACTATTGAGGTTGTATGATTTCAGCTTGTGGTTTAAAACACGGGACATAACAACAAGGTACTAAAACTGGAACATAACTTAATGGACTGAAAATACAATGTGCTAAAATTGCATATTTTGAGAACAAGTTTCGTATGTGTAGTCGTTTCAGTTAATTTTAGAACAACGGTCATCGCAGATTTTACTGACATAAATAACGAATAAATAACATATCGCATATATACGTAGCGAGTACTATTGAAAAGATGGTTATATTCACAACAGACGGAGGGAAGTGCAAGCACCAATAGATATATACGCCTATTATACGATCAACATCGACTATCTACGATCAGGCGGTAACTTGTGGGGAGGCATTGTATATATGTATAATATCATGTTAAAAGGTATAGAAAATAAAATTTGCAAAACTAAATCCTACAACAGGAAAAAATGTAGTTGTGTACTGCAAGTAGTAAATACTACAATATAGGTATTATAACAGATGTGATAGTATAAGAAAGATGTCCATACCTCTAAAGAAAATCACTAGGTATAAGATGTACATGCTATCCATAGTAATGTGGTTTATTTAATATATACATATGTTACCAGTTGAATCAACTTTCAGTCAAATAAACCAGATGAAAGGCAAAATAAATGCACAGTATTCTCCATTTGGCGCTCGTACACCACTACAACCCTCGCAAAAGGAATCAGGAATACACATCTAACTAACGAGTTTTTCCAAGTCTAATGAGTTATACCAAGTTTCACAAGCACAAGACCATTACGACACCAAGCATTTTTATAAGTATACTTATTTACAGCGGCCACAGTCGCTTTTTCGTTAAATCTTATTTTATTAACACAGCCGTAGAACGCAAATTTTTTCGATTTTTAAGGATTGGCGACCGATCCTCATCGTAAGAAAAACGAATTAAAACTGCAGGCGGTTTATTATTCGTTTTTGGTTATACCCTATGGCATTTTACAATACACGATTCATCGATGTTTACTTTCAAAATGTTAAAAATGCCCTGTACCTTTTTATGTAAATTCTCACCGTTTTGCATGGGTAGGTCAAACACTCTTACATTAAGGTTTCGAGATGCCTGCTCCTGGTCATCAACGGTCCGTAGAATTCTGTCCTGCGTGTCTCTAAAGTCCCTGATCTCTTCTTTGAGTTCAACGGTGGTCTGTTCCTGCTACCGCAGTCTTGTCTCATACTTCCTTTCGAGGAGCAGGGCAACTCTTTCGGCCATAGTCTGTAGAAACCGATCAGTTTCCTTCAACATCGTTATCTGAGAGACCCATGTTTACTTACTTCCTGCACGCCTTCTAACCTCACAAAACAGCACTGTGTAGGACAGAATATCGGTGAAAACTGGAACAAATTTTAACGATTCGTGAATGAGCACAAAAAATCACTGCGGAAAAGCATCACTCTGGAGGGGACACTGCAATATTAACTGGAGATTTTTTGAAAACTTAGCTGCAGATTGCAAACGTGTGTTTACTCACAGGGCGCCATCTTGCAATCCCAATCGATTATCTACGATCGGGCGGTAAATTGTGGGCAGACATTGCATCATATTGGCTGTTAGGGCGTGCCGCAAGTTCCGCTGACAAGACCGTTCAATTTTTCTTCGTATTTAATTTTCAAGCCTTAACGCCATCAATGCATAAATAATTATTAGTGCCTTTAGATCTAACTGCCTGTGGAGTCCGTGCGTTGAAAAGTGAGATTTAACGTCCTAAAACCATATCCTCAAAGTACAACTTACCGCCCGATCGTAGATAATCGATGTTGATTGTATAATATGCGTATGTATCTAGGTATGTATGTATCTAACTTTTGTTGTGAAATATAACCTTACCTTTTGAATAGAATGCGCTAAATATGTATGCGATATGTTATATATTCGTTATTTACGCCACTGAAATCTGCAATGACCGTGGCTTTGAAATGAACTGAAACGACAGCACATGCGAAACTGGTTCTCAAATTCTGCCATTTCAGTACATTGTATTCTTGGATCATATAAGTTATGTACCAGTTCTGGTACCTTGTTGCTCGCTTTGTTGATATGCCTCGCGTTTTAATCCACACAACCTCAATAGGTCTATTTTCAAGCGTGTATATACTAACTTATAGCACAATAAATAATATTCTATTCCAAACTGTCCATATGGCAAATTAAATCTATCAGTACATATTGCATTAATTTTCGCGAGCTCATCGCATCTAGGCTAGGGCATGAAGTCTTTGGTTGAGTCTACCGACAGTTGTCGGTACCGATGAGAATAAGTATAGCGGTCCAGGTATTTCGCCACTACTCGGTACGTGTAATTAATTGGAGCTCCCAGATCTTTAGTGATCCAGGCACATATATCGAGCGTTTCAAATTCGACTCTCTATATTGGGATATCGGAAATGAGAGATACAAAGTCGGTTAAATGGGTACATATTTGCTCATTTTTAGCTAAGAAAATGGTACATAGAGAGATTCTCAATTGCGAGTATTTCCGGAGAAAAAAAAAATGTTTTCAAAACCGTTTTTATTTTTTTGAGAATTGATTTTAAAATAAAAAGTACGTTGCCACTTTTCCGTCTGTTCAAGATGGCATAATTAGAGTTTCAATATTACGTTACATACAGGATGTTTACGTCAATGTATTATACATTTTTGGAATCAGCATTAAAAACTCTATTCAACTCTGTGCAAAAATATAATATGGCCAAGGGCGTACCTAAGGATGGCTTTTCCGCAAAAATTAAATGGAGAGTACATTTTTTACAAAAATTATACTCTTCATGTATAGGGTTCTCCACAAAGAAAATGAATGATTTTTTGCAATAACCAATTAACCGTTGCAACGAACTGGACATACCCATTAGTTCTCATTTTACCGGTATTTTCATTCTATTCCCAGTTATTCTATAGACTTATAGTATAACGTTGAAATTTAATGAAAAAGTTATCCAGAATTTATTTGGAAATGAGGGGCCCTTGCACTCACTCCAAATATTTAAATCCTTCTGTACAATTTCTTTTACAACAGCGTTCACATTTGACTAGTTAGCCTGATCAAATAAGTTTTATGGGGTTTCTAGATAACATATTGCAGCAGCAGCTTCCTGATGTTTCAACGCAGATTCCACTCCACATATTTTCGAATTGCTCGTGTTGTGTTTGCAGTGAATGATTAGAATTTGAAAAAACAGTTTTGCCGGATTTCACAGTCTTTGAATCCATCAATAATGTGATGCTTTCCAAGTTATAGAAAGACCAATGATTAGATTAATTTTTTTTTTGACGGTCACTCTACCGCAACAGGACCGATTAAAAAAACCAGAAATATTTTTCTGTATGTAACAGAGGGCAAAGGATGAAATCCAGAAAAAATGTGATATCTTGTAGAAAAGAAAAAAGTGTCAATATTAATATACGTTTACTTCCCACGTCTAATGAGAATGAAACATCAACCCAGCAGCTGCGGCGTTACTTCGATCGCGTCCTTTCTGCTTAAACTTAGGAGTGACCGACCTGTTTAAGGTGGAATTCCTAAACATAAGCTTAACAATAAAGTACCATCAGATGGAGGGTCCAGATTGTGTCATATGCACATATGTTCCCCCAGTAAAGACTCTGTGTTGCTCCCCTTCTCCGAATAAGTATCAATTCCTGGAGACACGCGCTATACATATATTTATTGCTAAAATACAACTCCAAAACAATAAATGGTGTTTTAATACATTGCAAGTGTGCGGCAAGCATCCCTTTGAAGAACTATTGTAACGTCTCTTGCTTTATTTTAACGTCATCGATATTTCCTGGATCTCTTCGAATGCCATAGTTCTAGTATAAGTACGAAAGCAGCTAAGGCATGTCCGAAAAGCAGTAGAACAAATATTGTCTTGATTTCTTCGAATTTTATTTCTGCATCCTTTATAGATTCCTCTCTGACAACTAATCCTTGATTGATATTCTGCAGATTCAAGTAATTCGTCCATTTTTCTATAAACCCAGCGTCTATGATTCTCTTTAGATTCTTAACAAACGCTTCAGACTGAAGGAATCGTTTTCTCATCCATATTATCACGTCAACACCCTGTTCATTGTTGCTTTTGATACACTTTATTTTGCTTCTAATGCTTCTCACTTTCTCGTCATTCGTCATATAATAGCTCAATTGGGTGTCAGATAAGCAAAACGAAATATGATTTTTTGTGACATTCAATAATGTTTCTGTTACGTCTTTTGAATATATCCATTTTCTTTTGATCGTTTTAATAGGTACTCCATACAAATATTCATCATCACTCTCATTTTTTTGATGAAGTATAGAGTGCAAAGAGGAATGTGTGGCTAAATCATATTTGAATACATCATCTATAGTGTTGTACCTTTCGGTTTTGTATAGGCTGGTTAGTATGCTTGTGACTACGTCACCAAGAATAATACCTATGTACATTCCCAACAATAAAATTAAACCAGAGAAGTATCTGCCATACCATGTCTTTGGTTGTCGATTTTGAGCAACCAGGAATATTGCTGCAAAGTAAGCGAACATTATATTATGCAAATACTTGAAGTAACTATCTTGGGAACGGCTAACCAACCAAGTGCAGAGGGTCAGAGATAAATATAACATCAACACATAGATCCAAACATCGTTCCAGACGTAACCTGCCAAAGTACTTCCCATTCGTTCTGGTACACGAGGTACACACCAAACAGATCGACGTTTCAGATTTATTGTGTGACTACAGTCAAAAGGAATACATCTATTTTCTGTCCGTACGAAACCTCCAATCGCGAAGTCTATTTCATGGTTCTCCAATTTGTTCAGCAAAGCTTCGGCGTGATTCGCTCCTGGGCCACCAAACGTCATGCTATAACTGAAATTAAGTTGGAATCCAAGTTTCTCACTTAGTAAACTTAAAAGGTCAACTTCGATTCCTGTAAGTGTTTGATTTATCTCAATAATATGAGGAGGACATATCGTATAGCCCACATTCAAGGTACATTTGTTAAACATCCTTCTTGAACTGATAATCTTCTCAATTGTGGCCATATTCCCAAAGCTGCAACTATTCACTTTGTGTACCTTTATGGACTTTAAGCAATGGCCTTTTTTTGATGACCAGCTGTATATATTGAATGTTGTGATATTCCTAGGTTCAGGAAGCAAAATTATAGTATTTAACAAACGTCTCGCCAAAGACACATTAAAAATATGTTTTGCTAGTCTATCTGGTTTTGACGATGCATTAGTACAAATCACAATGACAGTTGGATTGCTGGTGTTAAATGGATCAATAAACATAGCGTTATTTTTCAAATCTTCTGCATCTCCGATATGTATAATCAAATTATCTGGAAAGCAGCCGGCAAAATTTTCATATCTCTTACCAGCTTCGCTCAAAATATTGTAATGAATTAACTTACGATGGGATCCCAAAGCTTTGAGAAAAAAGTCAACATTGTATATGCTCTTATCCTCTTTTTTTATGAATTCAGAGAATAAAATGTTGCTTCCAAGTTGGAACTGCTTTGGGTTGCCAGCGATACAGCTGCTCAGGGAATATGTTGTTAAGTCACGTATAGTCGTATTCAGCCTGAAGTCGTGGATATTCAGAGCAATAGCTGCATAATTACCACTCAAGAAGATGCAGTAGAGTAGCACACTCCTCACCTCCATCGTGTCTGTAAGTAAAAGAGTTCCCTTTACAGTGGACAGTCATTATCACGCCCGCTGTGTCCCATATTAGAAGCCCAAATCTACGAACTCACATTTAGTGCAGCTCCAAATTAGTTTTCAACAGTCCAAGTGCTTTGTGTTCAATGTCACCGATAAACAAATTCAGACTAGGTAAAAGAAGCAAAACAAATGATCCACCGTATTCTAGTCAGTCGACAGGATGCGAGTCGATCATGCAGAGTTTGACAGCTGCTGACATTGCATTAAATTTGTATATTTCTACGAAAACTTATAAAAAGTATGAGAGTTTCCATACAGTTCTAGGGTTTCCGAAAATTTCCAGAAATAGTATAGGTCTCGAGGATTGCAAAAAAACTGTTTATGTAAAATAAAATATATTCTTTTTTAAGTATTAACATAGGATGGCCATTGGTGTTGCATGTCCTATTTATTTTTATTTTTTTGGACGCTGAATGCCAGGATTCGTGACAAAATTCCATAAGGCTGTTGAACATTGAAAAATGCAAAATCTGGGAAAAAAGGCAGAATTTATCATGAATACTGAAAATACCTGACTAGAACTTTAAATTAGAGCGTCATCAACTTTTATTTATCTTATTAATTAAATCGCTTTTAAGTCTCTGTATTCGAACAGTATGGTGGCAATGATAATAGCTGTAATTGCCATATAATGTTCAACTTTTATTTGTTATACGTAAATGTGAATGTCTGTTCATCACGTCTGAACCACAATACGGTGAAGTTTTCTTATCTCTTACCAACCGCACTCAAAATATTAATATGAATCAACTTACTATGGTGGGATAACAAAGCTTTGAGGAAAAAATCAACGAAGAACAAGCTGCGACCGTCATTTGTGATGAATTTCGAAAATAAAATGGTGCTTCCAAGTTGAAACAGTAGTCAGCGATCAACGAACTTGAATATATTAGGAGCCAGTTTACATTGCATTGTTTGTTGCCAAAGTTGCTTAGCTTTAGTGCATATTTTTGACATGCCTAATATTTACAATTAATAAATATTCTGGGGAAATAAAAAGTAAATATTTTGTGAGGGTGTCACTCTCTATTGGAATTACCGTCATCTCGGTTGCTAAATTTTCTGTGTATTTATTGTATTAAAAGTAAAACATTTACGTACTCAATTATTAACATAAAATTAATATATGTATGTAATTATATAAATTTACTATTATTTTCACCGAAATACAATTCGCTATCCTCAACTGAGCAGTAAATGGCTGAACATGGTTAACAATAATAATACTTACAAAGATTTACGAACTTAATGTTGGGAGCACAATTAATTTGAAAGTTTGCGTTCAATACAAATGTATCACATAATCAATCCAAGGGCTTACTTATCAAAACAGCACAAAGTACTCTTTCTCTGTTTAGTGTTATTTGGCACAAAATGACGTGAGGAGATCCTTGGCCACAGGCATGTTCTTTTTTTAACCACAGTTTAAGCTTCCCGACATTCGTCAGGAAAGCTGAAAATAAATATCTAGGTGCATATTGTAAACTAATAAGTGCTAGTAATGATTATGCCGTTAATATTTGCAGACCGAAATTTAATGACAGAACTGCCACTGGCAGTATGCACTTTCATCCGGGCTACAGACTATGAGATTCTAAAGACAACGGAAACGTTGGCTTGCTTTTCCTGCCTAGTCTGAGTTTGTTGTCAGCGACAGAATTGCTCAGGAAATGTCTTATTAAGTCAGCAATAGTTACATCCAGGTTACACAATAGCTAAACAATAAACTCTCTGGAATATACAGCATACTAGCACAGTGCTTATCATTATCAGAGCTGTAAGCCTTTTGAATCTCAGCAATCCAAGGCGATGTTAACATTGACAAGCAGTAATGCGTTACTAAATTTCGGGAATATATAAAATTTGCTTACGTTTCAGATGCCGTTGCTGTTTTTTCTTTGTAAAAAGTCATGCTGAATGAATAGTATTCAGTACTAGTTTTAATTAGAAGCTAAAGTACTTGTTGAAGATCCGTTATCAAACAGATTCGTCTCTATATTCTCACGGCGACAGATGAGTTGGATCTTAGGAGCTGAATAGAGATTAGGTGACCTTCCTGCACTAAATTTACTCCAAACTAAGCAAATTTTAATTTTTTCAATTACATGCAATCAACGAATTCGAATAGATTATGTTTCCACTGCATTGTTTGTAGCCAGAATTGTGTAGTTTTAGTGGAAACTTTTGGCTAATTTAGCTACCAACCAAGTGACAAACCGACACGTCAGCGCACATTCTTTTCTCTGGAAACAATATTCAAGCAGCTATTCGCACTGCATGTATGCACGTAGTGCAAGGCTGAAATACTATCTGTGTTGCGATGTGAATTCGTCAGTTATTGTTAACAGGGATAAATTAAGTAAGGCAACGAAACGAAAGTAAATATTTATTAATTGTTCAGCAGGTGAACAATCGGGATTTTGAAAGGAAAAGAATCCAAAAGATTCTCTTCATCAAACAGCAACAATTGCGGAGTACCTTATATTGGAAATAGTGGGACACTGCATGAATTCCAGTCGGTTTTTCTAAATAGTTATCGTAATCCGAGCAGATTCCTGGCTTGTCACATTATTTGTACAATAAAAGGATTTAATTAATTTGATATTCATAGTTTTTTTGGAGGTACTAAAATGAGATCGAAAAAATTACTACTTATAACGCGAAATTACTTTTCCTAAGGACTTTGAGATTCAAAATTGAAACAGACTTGAATTTAAATTTTGTTTAGTTATATTAGAGTTTCGGTTGACAATTTTCGGTATCCTTCAAAAAATTTGATGTCTCCAATATTTTGCTTTTCCAATGTTGCTGTTAGGTATACAGGGAGGAAGAGGAAGGAGGAAGAACGTGCACCTGGTACTACGATGCGACTCCAACGCGCATCACACGGCCTGGGCGAGCACAGATGTTAACCAACGAGGTGAGTCTCTGTTTAACTATACTAAGTGACATATAAATCCGAACACCCAGTTTAAATGGTTTTATTTTAATAAAAGTTGGTGAATGTATTTACCTTACTTTAAATAACAAGTGAAAAAATGTTCAGCCTTATCAGTTGGACATTCCGGTTTTTATACTGCTTTTTTTTAATTCACTAACGCTCTAAAAATGAATATTTCGGCCACAGTAAAGAATCAACGTTGGCGGACTTTGGTTCTTGACATCCTTTACGATCGGTTACGATGCCTAGAGTACGGAGACCTGTACGATTTCGTCAACTTAGTGAGTTTGATAGGGGCCGTATAGTGGGACTTCGGGAAGCTGGACTTTCTTTTCGGGCAATTGCAGTTAGAGTGCAAAGAAGTGTAGACACTGTGGTTAGGTGTTGTCAGGCATGGCATCGAGAAGGCCGTACGCAAAGAGCAAGGGGCACTGGACGCCGCCGTAGAACAACAGGCCGTGAAGATCGCCGCCTAAGATTATTGGCCTTAAGGGACCGTTTCTCCACTACCAGGTCCATTGCAAATGAATGGTTCGCAGAACACGGAAGGCCTATTGGCATGCGAAGTGTTTACCGACGAATGAGAAGTTTTGGCTTGTTTTCATACCGGCCACACTGGGTCCTCCCTTTAACTCGAGAACACCGACGTAAACGCCTTGAGTGGTGCAGACAACGGTCACTCTGGGATCAGGAATGGAACAGTATTGTCTTTAGTGACGAGTCTCGATTTTGTTTAGGCATGCACGATGGTCGTGCCAGGGTTAGAAGGCGACGTGGTGAAAGGAGGAATCCACAGTTTTTTGTTGAAAGACATGTTCATCACACTGTTGGAGTTATGGTTTGGAGTGCTATAGCTTATGGTTCCAGGTCACCTTTAATCTTCATCAGAGGTAACATGAACGCGCGGCGTTATATCCACGAAGTTCTAGAACCCCATCTTTTACCCTATCTTGACACCCTGGCAGATCCAACTTTCCAACAAGATAATGCCCGACCACATGTTGCAAGAGTCACAATAGATTTCTTTCAACATAATGATGTCACATTGTTACCATGGCCACCAAGATCTCCCGACTTATCCCCAATTGAGCACATGTGGGATATGATGGGTAGGAGATTGCTCAATTTGCAACGTCCTCCTCAGACTCTAGAAGCACTTCGAGAGGAGTTGGTGGTTGCCTGCAATGAGATACCACAGGAGGACATTGACCACCTGATCAGGAGCATGCCTAGGCGCGTTGGAGAATGCGTAGCACATTAGGGTGCATCCACACATTATTAAAGGTCAAAGGGCTTTAAAGCAGTGCAATCATTATGAAGTTTTTATCATTTACTTATTATGCTTCATTAAGTACTTTTACAAAATTTTATTAAAATAAAACCATTTAAACTGGGTGTTCGGATTTAAACTGGGTGTTCGGATTTATATGTCACTTAGTATATTTAATCGGAGAGAGACTGGGGGTTAACAATAAAGGGCAGAGCCTACCTGTATTACTAGAAGTAGGATAGAGGTACTTGACTTGACAATTGGCACTAATCATTTAAGCAGCAAGATCAAAGATTGGCGGGTGACGTCGGAACCCTCGTGTCCTGATCAGCGACATATTCGCTTTGAGATTGCAATGGGTGTAAGTCTATAGGAATGTGAGGAATACGGACTGGGATGGATATAAAACGACCTTGAAGGGAAACCTGTATTCCTGTAGTAGCAATATAACAAAAAAAGATCAACTGGACTTCATGGCGGATCGGGTAAAACGCAAGCCATAAGTTCAGCCTATCAGAAAAACTGTCTACTCAAGGCAAAAAAGACAACCGGAGTACGTCTAGGTGGAATAACAGTCTTAATAAGAAAAGGCTAGAGGTTCGGAAACTCTTCAACCGGGCCAAACTATCTGGTAAGTGGGACCAGTATAGGATGGCCTTAACCGATTATAATAAAGCGGCCCGCAAAGAAAAAACTGAGTCGTAGAAAAGGTTCTGCGAGAGATATCAGATGCACCGAGCAGTGCATGGAATATAAGGTCCTCTCCAAGGATTGTGGACTGGAGTTGGGGTCGATCAAGGAAGTATAACATCTGATGACTTAGCTGGCCAATTCCCGGAGAATCGGACGGATAAACGACCCCACAGGGGAGACTGGCAGGTTGTCAGAACCATAGTAACACCTGATGCGGTTAAAGGAGCGATAAAATCATTTAAACCCTTCAAATCGCCAGGTGAGGATGGCATGTATCCAGCTCTACTACAAGTTGGACTGGATATATTGATGCCATTCCTCATAGCACTACAGAGCCAGCCTAGTGTGGAATCACATACCACATATGGCTGGAAGGTGACAAGGTGACAAGGTGACTATATACCTAAACCTAGACGGACAGATCCAGTGGCGAAGTCACTCAGACCAATTAGTCTGACCTCATTTCTGCTGAAACGCCTTGAAAAGGTAATTGATGATGTAGATAAGGGGGGGGGGCGCTCTGAAGAGGCATCCTCTAAGTGTGCACCAATATGCCTATCAGGCTGGTAAATCAACAGACCTTGCTCTCAACAATTTGGTTGCGAGCATCACTTACATACTTAATACCGATTTTCTTGTATTCATATGGATCTGGGGTCCAAAGAAAAGTGCTCTATATAGCTAACTCTACATATATGTATGTGCATCAATTAACAATTTAAATAATAAAATCGATGTGAAAGATACACATTTTAATTAATACATTATACATATGAACATGAGTCCTAAACCTCTTAACTTTTGAGCCACAGGGTGTTAAAAATTCAAGAAAAAAATCTTTTTCTTATGATACCTTTAATACTGTTCTACTGGAGATTTTTCCAAAAAATATAGTACACTATTGCTTTTTTTCAAAAGGAAATATTTTTGAAATCCTCTTTTAGTTTGCAATAAATTTGACCTCTTGAGGTTTTCCGTCCGAGTCACTGTTTTCTCGTACACAAATAAAAACCATTTTCATGCATTTGTGGTATATCGAAATTATTTTGAACTAAACTGAATCCAAATTCAAGATGAGATGTAAATAATAACAGTTAGCGCGTGATCTCTCGGTAACAGGTGGGGACAACGCCTCTTATTGGTCAATTCGCCATTAAATTTCAAGCGTTCGCCTGGCGGAATAATGCGCCGGGCAGGGGCAGGGGCAGGGCAGGCAGAGTTGCATTCAGGCTACCGACCGTCGCGTGTATCACTACGTGCTCGTGTTTTTGTATTCACCTTGCTTGGTTGTTGCTGTTGTTGTTGTTAAGTGTATTTGAGTAATTTGTTAAGTTTCTGTTTGTTATTGTTATTCCTCGTTATTATTTGTTTTGAACCAATCTTGAACATGTCCAGTACAGAGACTGCTGAAGAGGCTGTAGGTTACTCCCTTAGCCCTCCTAGAAAGCGATAAAAAAAAGACATCTTAGCGTAGACATGAAAGACGCCATATTGAATACATTCAGGATAGAGCGGAAGGAAGACGAAACATCAACTAACCCGAAAATAGCTCTGAAAGTGGCAGATAAAATTGGGGTATGCCAAGCGACAGTGTACAATGTTTTGAACGAACATAAGAAAAAGCATGCCTTTTCCAAGGCAATGACGGGTAAATATCGCAAAAGTATCATAAGATCGTTGGATGACGCTGACAAGCATGCGATTCGGAGGAAAGTGCACGAGTTCTTCTTCAGAAACGAAATACCGACAGTTGATAAAGTACTAAGGGAGGTTAAAGAGGATACTATGTTACCAAATTTCAAACGTTCGACTATTCATGAACTTTTGAAGCATCTTAATTTCGAATGGAAGAAACGAGGTCGTAACAACTTACTTATGAATAGAGAAGAAATTTTTCTGTGGAGGAGAGAGTACCTGACCAAAATTAAATCATTCAGGGATCAGCACAGGAAGATCTATTACCTGGACGAAACCTGGATTAACGCTGGGCTCACTACTCCGAAGGTATGAGTTGACAAAACTGTGACTTCATCCAGAAGGGCATTTCTAGATGGACTGTCGACCGGATTGAAAAATCCAGCAGGTAAATAGATCGAAGTAGTTCACGGCATCAATTTTTGCGTACAATATCTCTCTATCTTCGTACCTACGACAGTGTACAATGTTTTGAACGAACATAAGAAAATGCATGCCTTTTCCAAGGCAATGGCGGGTAAACATCGCAAAAGTATCATAAGATCGTTGGATGACGCTGACAAGCATGCGATTCGGAGGAAAGTGCACAAGTTCTTCTTCAGAAACGAAATACCGACAGTTGGTAAAGTACTACGGGAGGTTAACGAGGATGCTATGTTACCAAATTTCAAACGTTCGACTATTCATGAACTTTTGAAGCATCTTAATTTCGAATGGAAGAAACGAGGTCGTAACAGCTTACTTATGAATAGAGAAGAAATTGTTCTGTGGAGGAGAGAGTACCTGACCAAAATTAAATCATTCAGGGATCAGCACAGGAAGATCTATTGCCTGGACGAAACCTGGATTAACGCTGGGCTCACTACTCCGAAGGTATGAGTTGACAAAACTGTGACTTCATCCAGAAGGGCATTTCTAGATGGACTGTCGACCGGATTGAAAAATCCAGCAGGTAAATAGATCGAAGTAGTTCACGGCATCAACTTTTGGGTACAATATCTCTTTATCTTCGTACCTACAAGACGTGCATGTGTACTTAGCGGATTTTATCTTTCTAGGCAAAGGGAAAAGGCTCATTATTTGCCACATTGGGGGTGTAGATGACTTCGTGGATGACGGCTTATGGTCTTTTGAGTAAAAAAAAACCACTGACTACCATGAAGAGATGAATGGGGAAGCATTCGAGAAGTGGTTTTCAGGCATTTTACCACGTCTCGAAGACAATTCTGTGGTGGTTTTGGATAATGCTCCCTATCATACTTGCAAAATAGAAAAAATCCCAACTTCAGCTTCTAGGAAATCAGACATTCAGAGCTGGCTCCGTTCCAAAAATATAACTTTCGACCCTTCGTTACTGAAATTACAACTATTAGATATTGTGAAACAACACAGACCAAGACATGATAAATATGTCATAGATGAAATGGCTAAAGCACACCACAAAACAGTACTCCGTTTGCCGCCTTACCACTGTGAGCTCAACCCCATTGAGCTCATATGGGCAGATGTTAAGAATTTTGTTGCTGCACACAATACAACATTTAAATTTTCTGACATGCAAGAGCTGTTCAGAATTGCTATACAGAGGGTCATACCAGAAAGATGGCAAAAATGTGCGCAGCATGTTCAGGAGAAAGTGGAGGTAGCAATGTGGGAGCTGGACAACATAATTGAGAGAGATTTTGAATCCATCATCATAAACATTAATGACGATAGCTCTTCAAGTGAGTCTGAGTATAATGCCTATTTATTTGAAGAACAAGGTTACCATGAGATGTGACCATCACTCAGCGAACCTGCGTTTTGTAGGATATACTCTTGACTCAATTCAGAAAGATCTTTTCACATGTGGCGCCCGATTTCTACAATAAAGTACCTCAAGCTTTGAAAACTCTAACTATATTATGTAATTTTAATTTTATATTTGTTTATTTGTGAAGGTTTTCTCACTTGTCACTTTTCATTTGTTTGCGTTTTGTTTACGAATCTGTTGCTGTTTACTTTTAATTTTTATGTCTTCCGCCATATACCTAATATTTTTTTAAAAGTTACTTCTAAACCTGGTCATTATACCATGCATAGGCTACGATTCTGTAAAACAACTTTTTTCTGCTTTAAATTTTCTTATTATCTTCTGTGTATTTTTTTGTATTTGCTTGTACTTGAATTTTTTTTATACCTGGTTGGTTCTGAAAAACAGCTTGTGCTGATGTAACCCGCCAGGTAAAATAAAGGCCATTTATTATTATTATTATTAATAATAATAATATTGTTTCCAGAGAATGAGCGCTGACATGTCGGTTTGTCACTTTGTTGGTAGCCAAATTACCCAAAGGTTTCCATTAAAACTACATAATTTTGGCTAAAAGCAATGCAGTGCAAACATAATCTATTCGAATTCGTTGATTGCATATAACAGAAAAAATTAAAATTTGCTTAGTTTGGAGTAAATTTAGTGGAGGAAGGTCACCTTCTCTATTCAGCCCCTAACATCCAAATCATCCGTCGCCGTGAGAATATACAGACGCACAAATCTGTTTGATAATTGATCTTCAACAAGTACTTTAGCTTCTAATTAAAACTAGTACTGAATACTATTCATTCAGCATGACCTTTTACAAAAAAAAAACAGCAACGGCATCTGAAACGTAAGCAATTTTTATATATTCCCTTGAATCAAAGGGGAATAAAAGGAATATTGAACGCTAGTGACGGTGCCATAATGTTTTTTTTTAAATAATTGCAGTAATATAGCAGAAGTAAAAAACGAATTATTGAAAGGAATAGTGCACACGGAATTTAGTAACGCATTACTGCCTGTCAATCATAACATCGCCTTGGTTGCTGAGCTTCAAACACCTTACAGCTGTGATAGTGATAAGCATTGTGCTAGTATGCTGTATATTCCCAAGTGTTAATTGTTTAGCTATTGTGTAACCTGAATGTAACTATTGCTGACTTAATAAGACATTTCCTGAGCAGTTGTGTCGCTGACAACAAACTCAGACTAGGCAGGAAAAGCAAGCCAACGATTGATTGATTGTCTTTAGAATCTCATAGTCTGTAGACAGGATGAAAGTGCATACTGCCTGTGGCAGTTCTGTCATTAAATTCGTATTTTCTTTGTTATTTTTTAAAAGCGCGAGCGTTTTCAGATAATTCTGCTGTTAGACGACTCCACGACATGGTTAGTCATTGCATACTTTACAAGCAGTGGCACAAGCCTAATGAGGTAGATATTTCTAGTAAGTACTGATTTAGGATATCCATTGTTGTTGCGAAAGGGCATTTACCTGAAAGTTGTGCCTTCACCTGGGAATTTATTAAGAATTAAAAATTTCCTTCATTCTATTGCTGAAGTGCTGAGTCTCATGTGAAGTTATAGTTATACATAGTTTCATTTCGAGGTTCTTAGGACAGTCTTCATTTTTTGCAAACCTGTTTTAAAATTTTCGGTCGGCAAATCTTAGCGGCATAATCATTAATAGCAGCAATTAGTTTACAATGTGCACCTAGATATTTATCTTCAGTTTTCCTGATGAATGTCGGGAAGCCTAAACTGTGGCTTAAAGCTTTTGACAAATAGAACCCGCCTGTGGCCAAGGATATCCTCGCACCATTTTGTGCCAAATAACACTAAACAGAAAAAAGTACTTTATGCTGTTTAAATTTTGAGTTAGCCCTTGGATTGATTATGTGATACATTTCTATTGAATGTGAGCACGCACAAACTAAGTTAATTGTGCTCCCAACAATTTATAAATGTTTGTAATTATTGTTATTGGTAACCATGTTTAGCCATTTACTGCTCAGTTGAGGATAGCGAATTGTATTTCGGTGAAAATAATAGTGAATTTATATTTTTATTTATAGTAATTTTATGTTAATAGTTGAGTACGTAAATGTTTTACTTTTAATACAATAAATACACAAAAAATTTGGCCACCGAGATGACAGTAATTCCAATAGAGAGTCAGACTCTCAAAAAATATATAACATTACTTTTTATTTCTCCAGAATATTTATAAATCTTGAATATTAGGTATGTCACCATGAATTGTCAATTTCTCGTATTTTTCGCCTCTCAAAAGTATTCAAATACGAATAGTGGGCAAATTAGTCAAAAGCGCTGAAGCTAAGCGATTTTGGCAACAAACAATGCCATGTACTCGTAAACTGGCCCCTATATATTCAAAATCGTTGATCGCTGAAAACTGTTCCAACTTGAAAGCACCATTTTATTTTAGAAATTCATCACAAATGACGGTCGCAGCTTGTTCTTCGTTGATTTGTTCTCGAAACTGTGATTCTACCATAGCAAGTTGATTCATAACAATATTTTGAGTGCGGTTGGTAAGAGATAAGAACTTCACACTATTTTCGTTCAGACGCGATGAACAGACATTCACATTTACATATAACAAATCAAAAGTTGAACATTATATGGCAATTAGTGCTATTACATCAATACCACCATTCTGATCGAATAAACAGACTCAAAAGTGATTTAATTAATAAGATGAATAAAAGTTGATGAGGCTCAAATCTAGTCAGGTATTCTCAGTATTCATGATAAATTTTGCCTTTTCTCCCAGATTTTGCATTTTGCAATGTTCATACAGATATATGGAATTTTGTCAGCAATCCTGGCATTCTGCGCCTGAGAAAATAATAAATAGGAATACCTGCAACACGGATGGCCATCCTATGTTAATACTTATATATATATATATATATATATATAATATACATATATTATTTTACATAAACAGTTTTTTCCAATCCTCGAGATCTGACAATTTTCTGAAACCCTAGGATGGAAATCCTCGTACTTTTATGTTTTCTTAGAAATATACAAATTTAATGCAAAGTGTCAACAGCTGCTAAACTGTGCATGATCCACTTTTAGGATTTGCTGGCGTCCTATCTGCTGACCAGAGTACGACGGATCATTTGTTTTGCTTTTTTTACCTAGTCTGAATTTGTTTATCGGTGACATTGAACACTGTTGAAGACTAATTTGGAGCTGCGCTAAATGTGACTTCGTAGATTTGGGTTTCTGACATGCAACAAAGCGGGTGTGATATTGACTGTTTCTAGAAAGGGAAGTCTTTGTGTTTGAAGTTGGACTTGTTACAATTGATTGCCGCGGTTCAAAAAGGTTACAGCCACGATGGAGGTAAGAAGTGTGCTACTCTACTGCATCTTCTTGAGTGCTAATTATGCAGCTAATACTCTGAATATCCACCACTTCAAGCTGAATGCGACTATAAGTGACTTAATAACCCATTCCCTGAGCAGTTGTATCGCTGGTAACCCAAAGCAATTCCAACTTGGAAGCAACATTTTGTTCTCTGAATTCGTAACAAGAGAGGATGAGAGCATATACTTTGTTGACTTTTTTATCAAAGCTTTGGGATCCCAACGTAAGGTGATTCATAACAATATTTTGAACGAAGCTGGTAAGAGATATGAACATTTTGCTGGCAGCTTTCCAGATACTTTGATTATACATATCGAGCATGCAGAAGATTTAGAAAATAACACTATGTTTTTGTATCCATTTGACACCATCAATCCAACTGTCATTGTGATATGTACTAATGCATCTTCAAAACCAAATAGACTAGCAAGACATATTTTTAATGTGTCTTTGGCGAGACGTTTGTTAAATACTATAATTTTGCTTCCTGAACCTAGCAATATCACAACATTCAATATATACAGCTGGTCATCAAAAAAAGGGCATTGCTTAAAGTCTATAAAGGTGCACAAAGTGAATAGTTGCAGCTTTGGCAATATGGCAACAAGTGAGAAGATTATCAGTACAAGAAGGATGTTTAACAAATGTACCTTGAATGTGGGCTATAAGATAAGTCCTCCTCATGTTATTGAGGTAAATCAAACACTTACAGGAATCGAAGTTGACCTTTTAAGTTTACTAAGTGAGAAACTTGGATTCCAACTTAATTTCAATGATAGCGTGACGTTTTGTGACGCAGGAGGGAATCACGCAGAAGCTTTGATGAACAAATTGGAGAGCCATGAAATAGACTTCGCGATTGGAAGTTTAGTAAGGACAGAAAATAGGTGCAATACTTTTGACTGTAGTCACACAATAAATTTGAAATCTCAAGCTGTTTGGTGTGTACCTCGTGTACCAGACCGAATGGGAAGTGCTTTGGCAGGCTACATCTGGAACGATGTTTGGATCTATGTGTTGGTGTTATATTTATCTCTGACCATCTGCACTTGGTTTGTAAGCCGTTCCCAAGACAGTTACTTCAAATATTTTCTTAATATAATGTTCGCTTACTTTGCAGCAATATTCCTGGTTGCTCAAAATCGACAACCAAAGACATGGTATGGCAGATACTTCTTTGGTTTAATTTTATTGTTGGGAATGTACATAGGCATTATTCTTGGTGACGTAGTTACAAGCATACTAACCAGCCTATACAAAACCGAAAGGTACAACACTCTAGATGATATACAAGTATGATTTACCTACACATTTCGCTTTCAACTTTTTACGTTATAATAAATATGAGAGTGATGAGCGATATTTGTATGGAGTACCTATTAAAAGGATGATAAGAAAATATATATATTCAAAAGACGCAACAGAAACATTGTTGAATGTCACAAAAAATCATATTTCGTTTTGCTTACCTGACACCCAATTCAGCTATTGTATGACGAATGACGAGAAAGTGAGAAGCATTAGAAGCAAAATAAAGTGTATGAAAAGCACCAATGAACAGGGTTTTGACGTGATAATATGGATGAGAAAACGATTTCTTCAGTCTGAAGCATTTGTTAAGAATCTAAAGAGAATCATAGACGCGGGGTTTATTGAAAAATGGACGAATTACTTGAATCTGCAGGATATCAGTCAACGATTACTTGCCAGAGAGGGAGCTATTAAGGATCCAGAAATAAAATTTGAGGAAATCAAGACGATATTTGTTCTACTGCTTGTCGGACATGCCTTAGCTGCTTCCGTACTTATACTGGAACTATGGTATTCGAAGAGATCCAGGAAATATTGATGACGATACAATAAAGCAAGAGATGTTACAATAGTTCTTCAAAGTAAAGCCTGCCGCACACTTGCAATGTATTAAAGCACCATTTATTGTATTTGAGTTGTATTTTAGCAATAAATATATGTATATCAGTTGTCTCCAGGAATTGAAACTTATACGGAGAAGGGGAGATACACATCATCTTTACTGGGGGAACAAATGTGCATATGACACGCTCACATTCTGGCCCCTCCATCTGATGGTACCTTACTGTTAAGCTTAGAAGCTTAAGTTTCGGAATTCCACCTTAAACAGGTCGGTCACTCCTAAGCTTAAGCAGAAAGGACGCGATCTAAGTCCTAAACGCCGAAGCTCCTGTGTTGATGTTTCATTCTCATTAGACGTGGGGAGTAAAAGTATATTAATATTGACACTTTTTCTTTTCTACAATTCTACAAGTTATCATATTTAGAATTCGCATACGACGTCTCTTGTCCTCAATCAAGAAGTTTATTTTTTTCTTTTAGACGCCATATTTAAGGGAGTATCCATCTCAAAACGGAAGGAGGCAGCTTAAAAAAATTCGGTGGAAGTTCCACAAAACATATCTACGCTTGATATTTATCTTTCTGTTTGCATTTCATCATACTTTTTGAAACGCTCAAGCAATTTAGTCGATTGCATTACTTGAAGGCTACACTTGAGGTGATAAATGATAAGTGCTCATTTTTTCAGTAGTTCAGGTAACTACTGTAATCGCGGAAAAACTTCAAATGGAAGAATCACTTTCAGACATACATAATACGTACATTTTTTATTACTTTCATCAGGTAATCCTTTGCCCTCTATTACAGACAGAAAAATATTTCTAGTTTTTTTAATCGGCCCTGTTGCGCTCGAGTGACCGTCAAAAAAAAAATGAATCTAATCATTGGTCATTCTATAACTTGGGAAGCATCACAGGATTGAAGGATTCAGAGATTGTCAAATCCGGCAAAACTGTTTTTTTCAAATTCTAATCATTCACTCCAAACACAACACAAGCAACACGAGGTGTGCAATTCGAAAATATGTGGAGTGGAATCTGCTTTGAAAAATCAGGAAGCTGCTGCTGCAATATGTTATCTAGAAAGGCCATAAAACTTATTTGATCAGGCTAACTAGCCAAATGTGAACGCTGTTGCAAAAGAAATTTTACAGAAGGATTTAAATATTTAGAGTGATTGAAAAGGCCCCTCATTTCCAAACAGGATCTGTTTGCTTTCTGTCTGTGTCACCATTACCAACCGCATATATCGTTGTTTCATGTTTGTTAGCGATTAGTAGAATGGTATCGGTCTAATCATTTGGATACTGATGACGTAAAGCAAGCAAGATAAATGAATCTTTTGAAAAACTCGTTATTTTAATGTGCGAAAAATAAACCAAACGCCACCTATGAGCAGTTTCGCCAATTTTTCTCCAAAGAATTATACCTATACCATAACGATAATTACTAAAAAGCATGAAACAATGTGTATACGTTTATCTACGGTCGCAGAGCTAAGAAAGCTAATATACCTTATACAGCACATGTTTAGTTTATGCAATGTTTGCATGGAACGTCAATACTAATAGCACGGTGAGTGCTTAGTACCCCCTCATAGCATCTTAAGATGAGTTTACCCTTCCTCTCATGGTGGTAGTTTATAATATAGCTAGCAAAACGTGTGTGGTGCTAGGAATCAATTTGGCGGGCGATAAAACAACTCTGTCGATGTCTGTAAATTAAGTGTTGAGACTGGTACCGTAGCGTTCGATTTGGCAACACTGGAGGCTCCAGGCTTAAAAGTGAGACAGGGCAACATGTGATCCGCCTTAAGGACAGGTTTGAACTCGCTCGAGTCATTTGATTATCCGTAGCGAGTTTTTTGTCAAATAATTTTTCCTACTGTGGTCTAAAAATGAATGACATCAATTTCGAGCAACGGTGTGCTACCAGGTTGTACTTGAGACTTGGGCAGGCAGCAGTGGTGGCCGCAGTAGTAGACTCTTCGGTCTCCTGATCAGTCGCCGTGCGCTGTGCGGGTTCGAATCCCGTCCCAGGAGAAATTTTTCTCTTGCCTATGGATGTTGTGATTGTCCGTAGGTGGAGGTACCACCCAGCGGATCTCGTAGGCGGAGCCAGAATGTGTGCATGTTACATGCACACGTGTTCCCTCGCCAGAGTCCGTGTGGCGTTCCCCCTTACCCCTGTCTCCCCCTATAGCCCCACCGTACCCAATAGGTGTTTAGGCCTTAGGCCCTCGTAGTAGTTGGAGTATAAAAAAAATAAATTCTGATAACTTTTTCATTAAACTTCAAAGTTATAAGTCTATAGAATAACTGGGAATAGAATGAAAATACCGGTAAAATGAGAACTAACTAACCAACTAACCGTTGCAACGGTTAATTGGTTATTGCAAAAATTCGTTATTTTTTTATGGAGAACCCTGTACATGAAGAGTATGATTTTTGTAAAAAATATACTTTCCATTTAATTTTTGCGGACCTAGGGAAAAGCCACCCCTAGGTACGTTCTTGGCCATATTATATTTTTGCACAGTTGAATAGAGTTTTTAATTATGATTCCAAAAATGTATATATAATACATTGAGGTAAACATCCTATATCTAACGTCATATTGAAACTCTAATTATGCTGTCTTGAAGAGAAGGAAAAGGGGCAATGTTGATGTACCGTTTATTTTTAAATCAGTTCTTAAAAAAACAAAAACGATTTTGCAACATTTTTTTTTCTCCTAAATACTCGCCATTGAGAATCTTTCTATGTACCATTTTCTTAGCTATCTAATAATGAGCAAATTTGTCCCCATTTAACCGACTTTATATCTCCAGTTTCCGACATCCCAATAGTGAGAGTCGAATTTGAAACGCTCGATATATGTGCCTGGATCACAAGAAATCTGGGAGCACCGATTCGATTTGGCGCCAACTCTAAACTATTTTTTTGGGGTTTCATTATTACACATAACAAAAGACCAACAGGTCCTAACTTGGTGATGAATGTTCAAATGATATCCTTTTCTCTGAATGGCGCCACCCCCCTATACACAACCAGGTTAAATTGAAATTTGGCCCTTTCAGTCATGTATAAGCGCCTTTTGTCTGTCCACTGAAGGCGTTGAGTACCTGCTGCCGACTATTTCAAGTGGTACCCCGTGGTGCCATTTTACCACAAAGACTTTGTGGTGTGATTAGGCCAGCCATGCACGTTGGAGTTGTCTTGCGATGTTTACCTGAACAGATGAGCTGTATGTGGCATAACCCATCAAGGCTTAACATAAATGTTGTAGTTTCTTAACTAAAAAACCGGTCACGTTCTGACTTCTGACTTTAAAGCTGCACGCCCGTTTTTTCTATAAAGCTGATTAAACCGGTCTCTCAGAAAAATTCCGAGCATTTTTATCCATGACGCTGAAATCTCATGTTACTTAGACTTAAGACGTTCTTCTTTAATCTGAATCTATATTTTATATAAGCTCCAGCTTCGCTTATTGCTAGCCTTCCAACCGAGGATAAACATTGCTGAGCCTGAAATACTCTTTTGGGCCTTATAAGGTAAGGCTTGATCTTTAATTTAAACACTTTAGAATGCACCCAGGTATATGACTTTTTCGCTCCGGAAAAAGTTTGTCTTAGAATTTTCGGACCATTTTGAACAGAAAGGGTCCTTAGTAACTGTTCTCTGAGGACCATATCGTCAATCGTTCCTTCAATTGTAGGACGCCTTTATTGACTCCCTGACTGTCATAGAATTTTTCTCTCCTTCAGAAAGGCTTGAGCATTTCTAGATCTCACCTGTTCCGTGTCAGCGTCAGCGCTCTCCTATTGTGAAGTTATGTTTTCTTTTTGAATTGTAGGAGATTCCAGGCAAAAGCATGAACAATTTGGTGCAAATAGATATTTGTGACATAACCTCAAAATAGATCGTTGACAAGGAACAGTAGAAAACTATGAAAATCAAGCATGCCATAACGGCGTCCTAGAATTGTAGGAGCGACTGACGATACGACCCTAGAATTGACCTTCTTCTAGTTAAAGGCGATTCAATGTCTGAAACACCATCAAAATGGGGATCTTCATTGCATAAAAAACCGATTAAAAATTGTTTTGAAAAGCTGGCTTCCTAAATTAAAGTTCAAGCCTACCAGAGTGCGGAGAGTATTTTTGGTTTATTTTTTTTTAACCTTGATTGGTAGGATAACAGGAGGCGAAGTTTTGCAGCACGCACTTTAACGATCGCATTCGGTAAAATAAGAATGCCAGATATAATACTTACTGTATCTGCTTTGTAGACGCTATGTTTTTGGTTGGTGCAGTATATCTAACTCTAATTTATCAGCGCATTGTCTAACTGCTGTTTAGATAGACAAACTAGTCAGGTATTCTAGCTTGTATGGCTGGCTTTATTCACTAGTGTCTTTCCATAGTTGACTTGATTTGCCTCATTGTTTACACCTACCGTCGATATATCATTCCAAGAATGTGAGAACACTCTAAAGGTAATCATACACCCTAGTAAGATGGGTGAACAGTGGAAGGTCACCTTGGCAAGTAAACAGCTATTATTCGTTTCTTTACTGGATAAATAAAACAAACTATTAAGTTACACTTTGCTTTATTATGTAACTTATACAACATTTTCACTACCCACTTCTATTGGCGAGAAAGTATTGTAATCGCAAAAAATTTCTAAAATAAGATAATTAGGGCCAATTTCACCAACATTAATATTATGGACCAATGGGAAAATACCTTATTGAAATGCAATTTGACAGAAGCTGTCAAAGGTCTCTGAATATTAGTGATTCCTATTGAAATATTGAATAAAATCGTGAAAATTCGACTGTATTATAAACAAGACCACTTTTTGATTCCAACATGATGCTTTTGTACAGAAAAAACAGAACAACTTTCATGTATTTTGATTTGTGTTATAAATTGACATTTAACAATCCGTTATCCCCCTCAGCGAATGGGAATGCGGCAAATAATAGATCGATTTTCTAGCTGTTAAATTTGGCAGCAGATTTGGACGTTTGTTAATGCATGGCACTCTCGAATTTACCAACTTCAATATACTGAAAGTTATCATTACATACCTGTTGAATAGTGTGGATTTGCAAGAAAATAGAATATAAAATACACTCCATCCAATTCCTCATCTTCCTTTACGTCATAATAATTAATTTATGGGTTAATGAATTTCTTCAAAGCAATAAAAACATTATGTCCTCTCCATCCTAAAACACAGATAATATGTGTAAGACGTGTCAATCCCTACATCTCCCTGATGCATAATGCAATTACTATGGACATAGACAAAAAATTATGACAAATGTTTCACAAATAATGTCTTTTAAGTCCAAAAATCATAAAAACTAATAATGTTTATTGTTTGTGTTTTTGACTGGCGGTCGTTGACTGGCGGGGATATCTATCTGTCTCTCGCAAGGTTGGCAAGTCTAACGACGATCACGTCCCGTGGTGGAGGGTGCGAAATGAATCTTTTACATTTGCTGGTTTTGAATTTTTTTCGTGAAAATTTACTAGGTATCATGATTATAAACATCTTTGGTAGATTGTTTGATCCGGAATGGGTAAGATCTCCTATTTATGAAAATATTTTTGGTATCATCTTGCCACGCTCTTTTTTTTAATTATGATCACTTTTTAATTTTAAGCTAAAGTTATTTCTCTCAATTGAGGCAATGGATGATTAAAAAAAAACTAGGGGGTTACTGAGGCCGTGGTTTAGCGTTGGCAAATTAGGCCCTATGCTCAGGTACACCGGAGAGTAGGGAGGGTATTTTTTAGGGGCGCCACCAGCTTTTATCCGCCAAAACTGGTGTTGAAAGGCACTCTTTAGCCCAAAACCCCAAGAAACAAAAACAAAAATACATACAAACAATAGATTTTCTGTGTGGGTAAATAATTGCTAAAATTAACATATACATTATTACATCTACTAAAGGCTAACAACAAAAATTTAAGCCAGCCAAACTAGGAGATCTCCCTTAATGCGAAAGCTTATTGACTAACTAATTTAAAATGGGCGAGGAAGGCTTCAAAACCGATGACGTAAGAATCCCTATGGTGGAAAAAGGGTCTCTGTTCGGAAAGAGGTCCCCGGTAGAAAACGTGTCAATGGATCTCCAGTAGCGAATATTCCCCCAAAATGAAAACCCTAGGAAGAATAATAGTATTCAGGCGATCGAATGTAACAGTATAAAAAAAATTCAAATTTAGTTAACAACAATTAACGTAATTGGAAAAGTAATCTTCAAATATTGAATATTACTTATACGAGAAAGAAAAAAAAGGAGCGAATAGAAATTAAATATTTTAGATAATTCAATTATGATTTTTGACCACCCGGTATAACAGATTTAAAATTACTCTTTGAGTTACTCTGAAAATATCATAAAACCAACGCATGCTCCACAGAATACTAAGTTAACTCCATTTTAGAACAAGAATAATTATTTACTTTTGAGAAAACTCATATATATGAGAAATATGGTCTTTTGCCTAAATTTTCATTTACTTAAAATAAAATAATGCTCACCTAGATGATGTCGGGTAGGGTTTTTCACATGGTTCCGTCTGGCGAAAAGTGCAGCTGAAGACAATAAGATCCTACAAATTGCAGAATTTCTCGGGTCCAAGGGTAGACAAAAAAAAAGATGCTACACACTCACAACAGGAATGACCAAGGAAATTGTCTATGAAATTTTCTTCCACAATCCAACGAAGATGCCCCAGGCAAAAAAGGAGGAAAATTTCAGGTCTTCTGGCACTAGCGGAACAGAACAAGATGGCCCTCCGATAGTGGAAGGAAGTCCCATCCCAAAATTTAATTTTTTTGACTTGACATTTCCAAATATAGTTGTACGCCTGACCATTAAGAGCCAAACGTTGTCGGCTAATCCCAAAATGGGAAGGTTCCTAATATAAATTCAAGGAAATATCGTGAATAAATGTGGCCACACTGTCATATCTGCATATAAATTAATAAACATACGGAAATTCGGAAATAAAATTGGCAACTATGCAGAACAAGCGGGGTGTGCAAGTATTTCGGTACGCAGAATAGTACCTCGACATCAGCGATATCAGCCTTTGACATTGGAAGATTTTAGAAAACAATAATAAATTCATCTGACTATAAAAGAAATACATAGTCCAATAGGTGAGTAATAATATTTATGCAAACACAAATAGTTTTTAATTCAGAAAGTGATATCAATTTATAGATGTACATTTTTATTTATTTATTTATTTATTTTTAGCTCCGGAGTGACAAACCCGATTGTTGTTGGGATGTAAACAAATCCCCGAGGCGAAAATTTCGAGATTGAATTGATTTCTTGACGGTGGAAGATCTAGCATGGGATGGAAGCAACCGAGTTATTTATGAAAATATGTGGAGATGAATACTAAAATTATTACTCATGGTGAACCAGGGAAATTACTAGGCAACACAAGAAGAAATTGTCCATTTCAGGGTGAGTTAATTCTTCAATTAATTACCTGAATGCATGAAAAATTGACTGCACATTTATAAACTTAATGGTAGAAGCTGTAAAGATGATCAAAATGGAGTGCGATTGCTGTATGTTAAATTTAATAATTGAAATTTTTGGATTACAAAATAGATCAGGATGGATTATGTTTAATTGATTGAGAAATATTTGGTTTCAGTTCACACATTGTTCAGTGACATGGAAGATGCTGACTACTATATACAGGCAGCCAAACGACTATAGAAGAAAAACAACGAATACAAATTAAAAATTATAGTAATTCAGTGGTATTCATCTGTTATGTTTGTTATTTCAAATAAACATGTTAATAGGTAAATGTCTGCGTGTTATTTATTTTGGTTATGAATTACGTGAGAAAAATATAGCTGAATGCACCGTTAAAAACAAGCCCTATCTTGGGAAATGGCCAATGGGCCGGTCTAGTCATTTTTGTCAATAAAATTGATTTAATAATACGCTATGAATAAAAATAATATGCTACGGAGATTATTAGATTAGATTATCGGCTTTTGTTTCTTCCTTCTCAAGTTCTTGCTGCATTACTTCAAATTAAACCTGTGCGACAACAACAACAAAAAAAAAATGATTCATCGGCAATAAAAGGCAACTGTTACAATCTAACCGCTGCAATCAGTGCACAAACACTGTGACATATGATTTATAGCATAACCCGCTGCCCTGTCAGTACAAATTTAACATACAGGTCGCCTAGCCGTGGGGATGCAGTGGTCGGGATGAATATCACGGCAGCAACTGATGATTCGGGCATGTCTGGTAACAACGTATAAAGTGAAACTCGCAACATCACAAATTTGAAGATTTTGTACAATTTCTTTAAAAATGATGAAAGATATGTCTGATTTGGCAGGGTAATGTCGCAGCCAAATGGCAGTCACTCTTTGTGACACAGTCCGGATCGAAAGATGACGACACTCGTGAAATGTATTGATACTTCTAAATATAGGATCGTATCGAACATCCCTACTGTCAAGATGTATAACCCAAGGTACCGACGGAGATATTTTGCGGCGTCATGGACGTAATTTTAAATTTTCATTTGCATTTTTTCAAGGGTTTTGCAATGATTTTGGGAAAAATGTCACGAATAGTCCTATAAAGTATAGTAGAGTATATTTCAACAGTTGACGGAACTTACTCCACTGGGACCAGGAGGGTGAAACGGGATATTAATGCACAATCTGGCAATCCTGTCGCACCCTCACAAAATGGCCGCTGACAACCACACAAGTCACCGTGTTGTCATTGAATAGCATGGAATTAAATCTTCAGAGTATATGTTTTGTGACTGGTACCAAGAGTTGACAGATCCCACATATGTGTCACCCCTTGAAATGCAATAATCAGCTGTATTCAAATAATGTCTAATATAAATATAACCTAGAATGTCTACTCGTGGAAAAAGAAACATATGGCAAAATTGTAGTTTTTTTGCAGGTTTTAGGTTTGCTGGTAGCTTTAAGGCATATATTTGGGAATTTCTTAATCGCTGTGAATATAGTGTGGATGTTTGTTCAGTTCCTGAACAACGAAAAATATTCAACTTTATGGATGTATGGATATCAAAAAACCTGAATTGTTTTGTGGGAATATCAATCTAAGGTGCCATAATGGTTCTGATGAACGGCAAGTAAATGAATGAATGTTTGAAAACGATCAATATCTTTTGGTAGAGCCTGTTCTCAAGTAGGTGCTTAATGGCTATCTGCAAGAGGTTTATAGGAAAAAACACCCAGTATCGCATATTAATTGAAGAAAATAATATAAACATGAATAAAAAATCAACAATAGTAATTAAAACAAGAATTTTATTCAAAAATCCAACATTTCTTCAAATTTTGACTGAATTATATGTAATTTCTTAATATTCAATAAGCTGGTGATGTTTCAATGACAAGCTGTCATCTCATACTTTGACAGTATTTTGTTTTCAACATTTCATAGCTACTGGTTGCTAAAATTTCTTGATTGGAACTTGAAGCTCATTCGTTGTATTTGACGGTCTGTTACCCTATAGGTGGAGAATAACGGACTGTTGTTGGTGAAATTGGCCCTAAACATGCTTGTTCACTCATGTCCGTCGGTCTGTCCGCTAATCTTTGTACCGCCTATAACTTGGAAAGTACTGCTCGGATTTGGATGAAATTTCCACACAACGTTACTACTATGCCAATGATGAAAATGTTTTGTCTGTGTGTAGTCGGCGGAGGGGTTAAAATGATACACCGATCAGTAGATGTCTTGCGTCTGACAGCATTGATGGCAGGGCGCAAGGATGTTATAGTGTCGTGACTAGCGTTTATGACGTGTTTGACAGGTGTGGTCCAGCAGCGTTGCCAGGTGGTCGATACTTAGGGCAGGGAAAAAACGAGCAATAGCATTATCAAATGGATGGGTATTATGGAGTATGTACTAGTTGTATATCGGCATATTTGGCTGATTTTATTATACAGGTTTATAGCTAGCTCAAAGGAGCTTGGGCCGAACATAATCGTTTATGAACTGATGAGAGCGTTGCGTGGGAAGTGCAGAGTCAATGTACTTGACGCCATTTTTTGTATTACAGTGTTAACCCTTGCTTATTGGATTCAAGATTTAGTAAACTCCTCTGAGTGCCCTTGCAAGGCACAAGGCATCATGCATGCTCAATATAATAAATCGGCCTTTTAACTTGAAACTAACGTTGTGGTCAAAATATCGGCTTATATTACATATAAAGATCGTTTAAAATGAAACATAGAATACTTACAGTAATATTTCTTATAAAATACTCTAGAATATTCAACGAGCAGTATCGTAAAACTAAGAATGTGTCCGTGAAAATGTAAATAGCTTTAATGGGTATTATATCAGTATCAAATACGCTGCTCATAAAGTGGTCTAAAAAAATCTCACCAAAATGTTCCAGAGGGTGTTAGGAATCTACAATTTAGTAAATATTGAGGTGATACAATTTAATGACTGGTTTTACTGTGAGCTCGTATTATAATTTTAACGGCGGCAACCGTACTCAACAAAATAACGACGCAAGCGACTAACCGCAGCGTCAGGGTTCTTGAGGGGTTTTCGTGTGGGTAGAGGGAATTTTCCATGGCATAGCAATAACTACTACATTATAAGAATTGGCCTTCCAATAGACTAACAAAATCAAGTAACCTTACGAGGTCTGTAAATTAAGAGATGAGGCTATTTTTTTTTAATTTTTTAAATACAACTATAATTTTATATCGTAACCCTCACTTCCTTCTGAAGTCGCACAGCGCTGGAGATGGTTCTTCAACTCCTCATAGCAGTGTTGGAATAGCCTTCAGCTGGTCGGTTGTAGCCATTTGAATGTTTTTTTCTGTCCCGAAATGAGTTTCCTTGAGGTGATTTTTTAACTTCGGAAAAAGAAAAAAGAAACAACACTCAAGCCAGGCGAATAAGGAGGCTGATAAGCCTCAGGAATGTTTTTACTGGGCAAAAACTCGATTATTGACATTGCTATGCATTATCGTGATGCAAAAACCATTTTTTTTTGCGGGGAGGTAAAGATCTTCAAAAGACGCCAACTGCCGAGTGCGCCGCCTTGTGTGGGATTCACCTTTCTGCCTCGCCGAACAGGCCTCTACCCTACCTCTACATACCGAAACCGCTCGGACTTTACTTCAATACGCAGGGTGCCAAAGTTTTGTATAACAACGTAACCATATGCTTACTCCCATGATTTCTGATTGCCTACTAGGTCCTCTGATACGTTTTTAATATTGAATATTTTACTGCAATGCTGTGCATAACGTACCCTCATGCTTGACCACCTTGGACAACAAAGGAGCGTATGTTGGCTATATATCATCCTCATCACCACAGTAGAAACAATCGCTTGATAGGGATCTTCTCTGAAAAAGGTACTTTCGGTAGTAACCTTGAAGAGAAAGTGCTTGGGTGAGGAAATAATCAACCTCACCTCCGGATATTTGGGATCAGTTGATGAGTGCATCTGCCATACGTACCGAAAAACCACTTGTTCTTTATCTGATGAACGTTAGTGTGAATCACATTTAACCCTTGCCCAGTTATTCTATCAGCCTACCATCTGAACGCACAAGATCCCGGATTCTGCGCATATTTTCATCGAATTTTAAAGATGAAGCCCTTCCGCTTGTGGTTCATCTCCAATCGACTCTCCCCTTTCTGAAAATGTCTTATACCATCGAAATTCCTGGACTGTTGATAAAAAAATCTAATCTCCGTAAGCCTGCTGAAGTTTAGCAAGAGTTTCCGTTGCACTATGCCCAAGTCTG